AGATGCAGTCTTGTGTATGAAAAAAGGTTAGTCGCAAATGGAGACCATCGGGCCAGCAGGTGGCGATTCTTCCCGAGCAGCAAGAGGCCGATATCCCAGGGTATGTGATAGCCTGTGAGGGAGTGAAAGGCCGCATCCCACCATCGCCACAGCTGGGTTACCATTGGGCAGGCCAGGAAACAGTGCTCGAGAGTCGCCCTGGCCGGTGTGTTAGCGCAATATGCGCAGATCGGGGATACTTTGCCTTGCTGCTCCAGGTTAGTCCTGGACACTATCCAGTCAGGGGTGGGGAGGCAGCGGTGGAGGATCTGCCACTGCAGAGATCTATGGTTTGTTGGCATGATTCTTGCATACCTGGACCAGTCAAATGCGGCGAGTCACGCTCCCATCTGTTCGCTACCGTTTGGCTGATCGACATGGTTTGTCGAGATGTTCGGTGTCCTCCTTTGACTGTGTAGTTCCATATGTACATCGGTTTGGAACCCGGCCACTCCCATTCAGCCGGGTCAAAAGGGAGGTTGGCCACAGGAGTGGAGGTCTCATATGCAAAGTAACCATTTTCCTGGTCCCCCACCACCCTCACCTGCATCAGTCCCGCCCATGTTCCTGTAGTGTCCAGGCTGTCATTTCTTACCAGTTTTGTGAACGTGGCCCCAGGCAGTTGTGGTTCGTAGGCTTCCAGTTCGCAGGTCCCAGGATTGTTATCCTTCACGCGAAATATGACCAGGTGGGTCGGAGAGTCCAATTACCTGACAACCCAGTCATCCCGGCGGACTGTTGGGCCCTCCCTTAGGGTGAGATGCCAGGCAATGGGGAGGGCCTCTCTTAGCAGGCCAACCTTTTCTTCCACATTTTTGGCATACTTGAGTTTGCACTGCAATTGGGCCGGGGTCGCCCACTCCCCCCCCACTGGGTCCCACAAGTCCCCAACCGTGAACACCCCTTTCTTGGCCCAGGTCAGCCAGGGAGAGTTGGTTGTCAGGGGGAAGGGCTGGCCTGATTCTTGCAGGATGTGTGGGTTACCAAATAGGGGTTGCCTCCATATATCATGCCATCTGTTCGAAGGGTGTTTTTGTCTGGGGCCCCTCCGTCTCCAGAGTTCAATCATAAATGGCCACAGCGGATCTGCCAGTATGTCCCGCTTTGTATCATAGGCCGGGTCAGGCGGGTGTGGGCGGGTGCGTCTGTTTGGGAGGCCCTGGAATAGTCCAGTGGCTGTTTGTCAACCATTGGAACGGGTGGACCATTCCTGGAGCCTCGGTTTGAGGGGCCAGGTTGGTTACTTGCAGGCAGGCCAGCTGCTTCCAGGGAATGTCGCTCCCCATGAGGAGACGGACTAGGACTTCAAAGATGAGTGCCTCGGTCTTTCTCTCCGGGTCTAAGATTCCCAATCCCCCTTTGGATCTAGGCTGCGTCAGCACGTCCCACTTCACCTTGTTGAGGCAACCCTGATTTTTAACGCTGTTTTTCCATAGGTACGTCGTGAGGGCTTTCTTTAGTCTCATGTGTTGTTGCTTGTTCAGCGGCCAGACTGCCAGTTTATACTAGATGGCCGCCAGAATAGCACTATTAATTGCTAGAGCGCGCCCCACCAGCGATGTATGCAGACCCTCCCAGTTGGTCAGGCGATCTATGGCCATGTTGACCAACATGTCCCCATGGTCCGGCGGGGGACCCATCGCAGTCAATCGGACTCCCAATATCCTAATGGCATCTTCTTTGCGCGCCCAAGCTACACTCGGCTGGGGCGGAGGCGGTTGTCCGTGAGGGTGAAGCCACCAGCCCTCAGTCTTAGATCCCCAGTTGACCTTCATGTCTGCCGCGAGCGAGAAGAGGTGGATAACTTGGGTGAGTGTTTGGATACTGTCCGGGTCAGCGCTAATTAGCACCGTAAGATCATCCGCAAAGAGCGACGTCACTGGTATGAGGTGATGTGGCAAGTCTGGAATAGGCACTTTGTTGATACCGGGGTGCGCTCTGATCATTGACGCCAGGGCCTCTGTGACAATAACAAACAACAGCGGCGCAATGGGGTCTCCTTGGCGCACCGATCTTTGGAGGCGAATCGGTGGAGAGAGATGGTCGTTTAGCATTATGTTTGTCGTGGCCGATCTATGCAGGAGTTGTACCCATTGGCAGAAGCTCGGACCGAAGTTCATTTTGAGAAGGCACATATCAAGAAAGTCCCAATCAACATGGTCATATGCCTTTTCAAAGTCTATGAAGAGGATCGCCGCTTGGACCCTTCTTTGGCGGGCATATTTGATGGTCTCGTTGACCAGCAGGATATTATCCTGAATGTTCCGATTGGGCATGAACCCCGTTTGGTCCGGGTGAATCAGCATATTCATGAAAGGCAACTGCCTGTTAGTTAGAACTTTAGCCACCATCTTGTAGGGGACCGGAAGGAGGGTGATGGGTCTATAGTTTCTTATGTTGTCCTTGTCGCCTTTCTTATATAACAGGGTAGTTACTCCCTGGCCGATCATCCCACCAAAAGAACCTTCTTTCTGCACCGCCTCTATGTATTCCATGAGATCGTCGTTGAATAAGTCCCAAAAGGTAACCCAAAATTCTTTCGGGAAAGAATTGATCCCCGGCGTCTTCTCGTCCTCCATATCTTGTAAGGCGTCCCAGACCTCTTGCGAGGTTATGGGTTCATCCAGAGTGGCTTTTTGTTGCTGTGTTAAGGAGAAGTGGACTGCCTGTAGGAGCGACTGCCTCGCTTGATGGACTTGGTCTGGGTCTTTGGTGGGCGTTTCAGACGTGAATAAGCTCTTATAATATTGTGCTGCATAGTCCGTGATTGCGTACGCATTGGTTGCTGGCAGAGCGCCGGTATCCAACGGGTGATTTAGTATAGGGACCGTGGCTGCTATTGATCTCGCGCTGGCTTTTGCAAAGAAAGTCTTTGCCATTGTCCCATCTGTGTGTTGTTTTTTAATTTTAGCCTGCACCCTCCAGGCATGCGCTTGTTGTTCGATGTATGCTTGGAGGTGGTTGCGGGCGTCTTGCAATTTATCAAACGAGGGGCGGCGCAGCGGGTCGTTCATAAGTTCTTCATCCCATTCTTCAAGTTCTCTCATGAGGGTTTCAAGACAAGCCTTGCGGTCTCTTGCGTGCTGGATGGAGAATTTTTTCGCTCTTTCCCTTAGTTGCGCTACCCCCTCATTAAACCACTTCACCCTTTCCCCAGAAACAGGTTTCTGGATCCGCCAATATATCCAGAAGTCTTTAACCAGTTCTTTGAATCTGGGTAAGGTGAGCAAAGAGGCATTGAGCTTGTAAAACCCTGGCCCTCGCTGTATGTGTCCATGGAAAGACAGGCCCAGTGTAATCATCCTATGGTCAAAGGACTTGCATGGGCTTATTGTCGTTATTTCTGCCGTTGTGACCAGGCCCGTCAGGTCTTTCGATACCAGCATAAGATCAATCCGTGAGTTGGCTAAGCCGAGGTCGCCTCTTGACAACAGACAGGTATAAGCTCTCTGGGTGGGGTGAAGCAGTCTATATGCATCTTCTAATTGTCTGTCCGCCACGAGTTGTTTGAGAATGCAAGTATCCGGGGCGGGGCCAGACACCGACGGGGAAGCCGGGTCATGGTGTCTAGCCGTGGATCTACGGTCCATTATCGGGTCAAGCGTGGTATTAAAATCTCCCGCAAGTATAAGAGGGGCGTCTTCCGGCAGCAGGTCATAGAGATCGAGCCAAAAGTCAGCCCTAGCTATAGGGTCATTGGGGGCATACACGCTGACCAAGTAAAAGACCTCCCCCTCATATAGCAATTTTAGGCAAATCCATCTGCCATGCAAGTGGTCATGCTCAACTGCTAGTGGTGTGAGCTTTGAGGAAGGCGGGAGCCAAATTGCGACTCCAGCGAACGCTCTGTCTTTTGCGGGCGCAGCGTACTGTGTATACGGCCAAATTGCTTTGGCCTTCGCATTGTGCGGCGGCGTGTCTTGAAGGTGGGTTTCTTGGATGCATATTGCTTCTGGCCATGCTTTTGTTTCTGGGCACCTGAGCATATTCCAAATTGCCTCCTTTTTTGGTGTAGCCGCCTAGATGAGCCCGTTAACATTTAATGAGCAGATGTCAATATCTGCCAGCTCCAACTTCTTTGCCCACTGAGGCTTCCTCCTGATGGGGGGGACAAGTACGGGAGGTGGGGGGCATTGAGGGGGGGSGGGGGGGGGGGGGGGGGGGGGGGGGGGGGGGGGGGGGGGGGGGGGGGGGGGGGGGGGGGGGGGGGGGGGAATCATCGGACGCTGCAGGTCATTGTCAGGGGAGGCAGTGGGAGACTGGGAGGTGCGCAGAGTGAGCAGAGGGCGGATCTGTGTTGTGTTGTGACCTCCCAGAAGGAAGGGGTGCAGTGAGAGGCCGGTGGTGTGGGGGGTGTGCAGGGTGAGCGGAGGGCGGGTCTGTGTTGTACTGAGCCCTTCCGGAAAGATGGGGTGGTCGGTGGGCTGCCTCCCGCCGGTCATCCGGCATGGTGGTGGCAGGATCCGATGCACGACTAGTGAGGTCCATTGTCCACAATGTATTATGTGTGACAGACGCAGGAACCCCCTCACCACTATCAGTCTGCAATCTTTATTGGGAGGACAAACGGTGGGTCGTCCTACTGATTGTGTTCTTCCAGCACGCTGTCTTCCATAAATATCTGTATGAACCGCAACACCCTGGTCCGTGTCCAGGCAAAGTTGGTCCTGAAGCGGTCCGCAGGCAGGTTCATTAGCTGTTGATGGGTGAACCATGTGTGTGCTGTCCTTGCTTTTTGGGGTGCAGCATTGAAGGACATGAGCACAATGACTGGAATAATTCCTTCCGGGAATGACAACGATCGAGGCAGCACCGCTCCTTGAATACCTTGCAGCTGCGTTTCCCTGCGCCAATACTTGAGGCGCTTCAAGATGACTGTTGTGGTGGGACTGCCCCTCCAGCCCTCCAGTGTGAGGCCATCGGGGTCGGGGGGTTGATGCGGGGGCCGATCAGGGGGGGGTCTGAGCCCTAACAGCCACTGGCCTCCTTCCCTCTGTCGGGTTATCGGAAAGATAACCACCCCGGGCGGTGTTTGCCTCAAGGCGATGTCATGTAGTTGCAGTCTCACCCGATCCCGCAAGAGCCCCCGAGGAGGTTCATTAAGTGCCTCGTCTTCCGATTCGGATGGCATGTCGTCTTCATCATCATGCAAAATTTCTATTCTGCGAGGGTGGCGGGGCGGTGCTGGCTGTGGGTCACAGGCTGTTTTCGTCCGGCTTCCCAGGTGAGGAGCTGGCTGTGCCTTTCTTCCAATTGGGGGGGGGCAGCAGGTGCCGAGCCGTGTAGTGTGGCACAGAGTTCGCCAACAAGCAGTCTAGGCCATGCCAATCCTTCATGGCGGAATGCATCATCCTCGATCAGTGGACTGTTAGTAACTTGAATATGTTGTGCAGAAATCTATTGTTGGCGTATTGCTCGATCTTGTCTAAGAATTCATTGATCACCTAAACGATTGCTGCCCCAACATCCATCCAGTCAATGGACTGTACATCTCTGTACTTTTCGACAGTGGCCAAAACCCGCGGGGTAAACATCAAGACCTCCTTGGCCTGGGCCCAGTACTTAGTGGTAAGTTTGCTCTGTGACCCCTCCTCAGCCATGGAAAATATCTTAGTCAGGGTCCACTCAGTAAGAAAAGCCAGTTTTTGCTTGACTTCATCATTGTCTACCAGTGGAGGGGGAGGGGGGGGCGGACTGTCATGCGGTACAGGAGCTGCCGCCTGGGTCATTTCAATATCATGTCCCCTTGGCCCCAAGTCCTTACCCTGTTGCTGTGTTGCCTGTGCTGGCTCATCCGGGGCGGAGGTGTCCATATCCTGTGCTGGTTGTGCATCCATACTGTGGGGCGAGGGGACAGCCTCAACTATCTGGGGGCAGTCCATTGTGTGGCGTTGTTGCACTTCCATCTCCTGATGCCAGAATTGCTGCAGTTGCTGCTTCTGTTGTTGCAGGATGCGTTCTTGTTGGCAGCAAAGCTGTTGTTGCCACTGCAGATGCAGGTTCTGTAAGATCTGCTGTTGGTACAGCACCCTTTGTTGACGTTGTTGGTGGTGGTACTGCGCCAGCTGTGCTTGTAGGAGGAAGTGGAGTTGGTCCTCGCATTGCCCCCGCTGCTGTGCCTGTGCCTGCTCCTGAATGTGCATGTTTTGCTGAGGTGACACCAGCTGGTTTTGTTGGTTTTGTTGCTGCTGCATCGCCGCAGCTTGTTGTTGCTGTTGGTGGTGTTGGTTCCATGTCTGGTGTTGCATCTGTTGTTGTTGCGGGTGATGCTGCATCTCCTGGGCCGGAGCATGGTATTGTTGTGTCGCAGCATGTAGTTGTTGTTGCTGCATTTGCTGCTGCGAGAGCAGCTGCTGCGCGCTTTGTTGGTGCGACAAGTGTTGTGGCACAGCATGCAGTTGTTGTTGCTGCATTTGCAGTTGTGGCAGCAGGTGCTGCTCACTTTGTTGATGCGGCAGCTGTTGTTGCAGCAGCGTTTGTTCCTGTTGTGCCAACTGTTGGGGCTGATGTAACATCACTTGCTGGTCCTGTGGTGGTTGGGCCAGCTGCTGTGACATGTGCATCAGCTCCAATTGTTGTTCAGGTTGATGTGATAGCATTTGATCGTGCTGCGGCCTGTGGTGGTGCTGTTGTGAGATCAACAGCCGCTCCTGCTGTTGTTGCACGGCCCCAAGTTGGTGATCGTGTTGCACCGCTAGCTGTTGTTGCTGTTGCCTTTGGTGCTCCGGCGAATGCTGCGCGGGCTGTTGCTGTTGCTCCCGCGGCTGTTGTGGAGGCTTCTGCTGGACGGCTCCCATTATTTCATAGTGTTCGAGCTCCAGCTTTCGTGACCGCGTCAGCTCGTGCGGTGGTTTTGGGGGCGGTCGGGGGGGGCAATAATTTTGCTTCTCCCGTTACTTGTGAGATCACCCTTGTCCCCTGGGGGTGATTCGGATCCGGGGATCGACTGTGCTTTTCCTTTTGCTGCTCTGTCGATAAGCAGTTCGGGTGCGGACCTCCCATCCCTCCTTGGGGGTCATCATTCAACTCCTCCTGCTGGGCGGCTCCCATTATTTCATCATGTTCGAGCTCCAACTTTCGTGACCGCGTCAGCTCGTGCGGTGGTTTTGGGGGCGGTCCGGGGGGCAAGAATTTTGCTTCTCCCGTTACTTGCGAGATCACCCTTGTCCCATGGGGGTGATTCGGATCCGGGGATCGACTGTGCTTTTCCTTTTGCTGCTCTGTCGATAAGCAGTTCAGGTGCGGACCTCTCATTCGTCCTTGGGGGTCATCATTCAGCTCCTCTCGTCGACGGTCAGGCAGCGGTGGCTCTGAGTCATGGGGGAAGGTAGCATCTTTGAGCTTATTTAGCAGGGAGTTGGCTTTGAGCCACACCTCCCTGGGTTTGAATCCTTTACCAGTATCTTCCTTAGTTGCCACTTCCTTAGATGCCCCTGCCGGTCGGGGCTCCGTCCTGATCTCTTGTGTAGGCAGGTCTGTCCCGCCGCCCTGGGCGAGTGTACGAGGGTCGTTGTGTACTCCTTGTCCAGGAGGCAATGCATCCCATGGTTGCGAGTGTGTAGGTTGAGTCGGGGTCGGATTCTTCGACCAGGTCTTCTCCCCAATTTCAAAGTCGCTCGTGCTGCCCCCCGGTTGTTGATGCAAGATGGTTCGGGGCTGATTATGGGAAGATCCCCTGGCGTTCTCCGAGGCGCAAGGCTTTTTGGTGGTGCGCTGTGGAGGCAGCGGAGGCGCAGGGAGGGCGGGTGGCAGTCGTGCGCGCGGTTGTTGGTGTGCTAGGTGAAGTTGGGGCGACTGGTTAGTCGGAGTGTTTTCCTGTGGTTCCCTTGTTGACACCAGCTCATCCACAGACTGATTCGGATGAGCATCGCTCCGTCGCCGCCGTTCGGAAATAGGCACCAACTTTCCTTCTTGCTGCAGATCTTCACTTTTACTGTCGCTTGCCGCGCGTGGTTGTTGGTGCAATAGGTGAAGCTGAGGCGACTGGTTAGTCGGAGTGTTTTCCTGTGCTTCCCTTGTTAACACCAGCGCATCCACAGACTGACTCGGATTAGCATCGCTCCGTCGCTGCCTTTCTGAAACAGGGACGGGCTTTCCTTCTCGCTGCAGATCTTCACTTTTACTGTTGGTTTCCTCCTGATGCTGTTGTGGTTCCCACTCGGGCTTCTTTATTTGTTTGGGCTTGTAAATCTGTTGGGGGGGAATCGCTGCAGATTTGTCTGGCATCATCGGGCGGTTATTAGTGCCTGTCTGCTTGTTTTGTTTTTTACCGCGGTCTTTGCTTTCCGGGATGAGCCCCCCTCCTTTGGCTGCGGGGCCCCGCAGATGGTGGTCATGGGTTTTCTCTGAGCCCGGGAGATGTTCCTGTTTCCCTCTTTGTTTGTGGTCAGTAGTAATGATCAGTTTTGCGCCTGCCGGGGATGCTAACGGCTTGCCCTTCCCCTGCCATATCCACTTTCCCGGAGTACCATCTGCGTAAGCCCTGAGCATCCAACCTTGGAGTTCTTGCTCCTCCGGGTACCATCTCTCCTCGTCAGTGGGGTGAGGAGTAACCAGTCCTTTTATTTTCGTTTTGCGGTCGTTTTTCGGACAGTCACCATCAGTGCACAAATGACCTCTTTGCTTGCAAGTGTAGCACCATGGGTCTTGAGAGTGGCTGATCAGAACTGAGAATTCCTTACCTCCGAGGGAGTACCTCCATTCCTCATTCAGGGGAAAGGGGTATTCTGAGTCCCATTCTACGGCCACCAGCAGCGAATTATCTCTTTTCCCAAGAAACTGGGGCAAGTTGGTGATATATCCCTTTGATCCTCCCTACGTCTTCCAGATCTGCTCGGATCGCCCCTTGCACACATAGGGGCGCGAAGCGGAACTCCACCCAGAAGTTCGTTTTCATGAGGAGCTCTCTTCTCTCATCAGTGGATTGCGGGTCTGCGGAGGACCACTCAGAGAGTTGCACGTGTTTGCCTCTCCATTGCAATTGGTTGTTCTCCAGGAGCAGGTGTTTGTCTGCTGGATAGAGGGCAACGACTGTGACACAGTCTGGACTGTCCACCTTAATTAAGAAATGATCATGGACCAATTGCCGCTCCGGGTTTATCCTCTGCAGTTTGTATGTGACCCATTTGACTTTCTCATTGACAGAAAGTGCCCAGTGAATGGGTTGAAAGCGAAATTGCACAGCCCTTTGTGTGTAGATCCCGTCTCTCAACGCCCGGGCCTGGGGTGAGAAGATTGAGTGTGGGTAAATATAACCCTGTTTTAATTGGAACTTTCTTTCTGGTTCTAAATATAATTGTTGTAAAAGATGCATTTTGAGTGGAGCCATGGAGGCCAGGGTAGATGACCTACGCGGGTCTGCTCGTTCGGGCGCCGACAGCGCTCTGAGTAGTTGGGGCGGCGGCTTCCGCCCGCCCTGTGATGATGATGATGGGGTCATAGAGGATGATGGGGTCGTGGAGCCACTTCCCCCGCCAGCAGTGGCTACCAATTTGTCCTTCCATGTCTCTTTCGTGTGTTGTTGTGCCGCACGGCTGTCCTCTTGCCCGGGGGGACCGTTTTTCCCCTCCCGTTGTTTGTGAGCCCCTGGGTCATGCCTCATCTGCACTGGGGATCCTGCCTGTGTTCCGTTTTGTTTGGGACCAGACACCGGGCATCGAGGCTCAGAAGCAGCACCACTGCTCTTTGCCTCCATCGCACTTCGTTGAGGTGCCGGTGTTGCTCGGTGGGGGTGAGGGACCGCGTTGTCTCTTTCCGCCATAAGCCTGCCGTAATCCGGCGGTCGGCTGACCAGCGAATGTCAGCGGGCGGTTTCCTGTGTTGTTCAGTATCAGTTACCCAAAACAGAGCAAGCGGGGAGATTGAGGTCAATTTTGTGCAGCGGGCGAGTACATTCAATGTGCTAACAGTATCTTAGTGGCCGGGACCCAGCGTGCACAGGACTCCAGTGAGCTTAGCTACCGTTCTCCCAAGCCCGGGCTCCAGCCATCACAGATCAGGGACCAATCTTCTGCGCAGTGGTCGGGGGGGGCAGCGAGAGGATTCCAGCGAGTAAAGATACCAATCTCCCAAGTTAGGGATGGTGGGGCAAGTTGCTCAGCACAGTCATTGGAGGGGGGGG